GCAGGCGGACGCTCTAACCACTGAGACAAACCAGCTAGGGCTTGAACATCTTTTCAGATGTTGTTGCCATTTACCAACACCTTTCATTACTCAGTTTAGGTGATTTGGCAGCAGAATTCAACCTGGCCAAGCTGCTGAGCACATAAGAAATTAATTTTTAGAGAGAGAGGAAGGGATAAGGAGACAGAAAGAGAAACATCAATGTAAGAGTGGAATACCTATGGGTTGCCTCCTGCACAACCCCTATCAGGGATTAAGCCCACAACCAGGGCATGTTCCCTGACCAGGAATTGAATCGGCAACCTTAGGTGCAAGGGACAACGCCCACCCAACTGAGCTACACTGGCCAGAGGTGAGCACTTCATTTTTAGTTTAGTGTTTTGTGTATATATATATACACACACACACATATCTCTTCCACAAAAATACAATAGAGTCTTTGGAGGTTGTAACTACTAGAGTCTTCATTGAACTGCACTTTTATGTTTTAGGCACTTTTCTTCATGTGTAATATTTCAAAGTTTCAAATGTATTAAAAATCCAGAAAGTGTAAAAGGCAAACTCCCTCCCACCTCATTCCGCACCCACCCACTTTCCATCTCAGCCTTTCCTAGTAACATGTTTTATTACATTCCTGTCTTTCCAGCATTTCTTCATGCAAATAGAAGCAAATAGGAAGCTGAATACTTACCTCTTTTTTACACAAAAGGCTTGCTAATTACACTGGTAGGTTGCACCTTGCTTTTGGTCTATACTTTGGAGACCATCCTGTCAGTACATAGTCTCCTTGCTCTTAACAGTTGCCTCATATCCCAAAGTACGGATAGACCATCACTCACTTAAGGGGTCTCCTGTTGATTCTCGAGTTATGGGTAATCTTTCACTTCTATAAACTAGGCTGCAATAAATAATCTTGTATTTAAGTAGTTTCACATGACAGCAATTATATATATATATTTTTTAATATATTTTTATTTATTTCAGAGAGGAAATGCTCTTGATCTGAATTGAACCTGGGGTCCTTCAGTCCACAGGCTGACACTCTATCCACTGAGCCAAACCGGCTAGGGCAGCAATTATATCTTTAGGAGAAATTTCCATCAGCTCAATGACTGGATCAAATATTATCCTATACAATAAAAGGCTAATATGCAAATTGTCCCCTCAGGAGTTCGACCGCTCACTATGACATGCGCTGACCACCAGGCCCAGGTCCCTAGGCCTGGCTGGCAATTGAAGCACGAGTGTCTGGCGTGGAAGGACAGGTCCCAGCTGACCTCTGGGCCCCGTGCACCCCCCTCCGCCTGAGTCATGGCGCCCGAGTCTCCACGTGAAGATGCGCTGAGCATGGCCGGATGCTGTGAACCAGGGCGCAGCGTCTCTTGGCTGCCCAGCGATGCTGCACAGAAGCGGCAGTGCACTTTCTCCAGGCCTGTCTTGCAGACCAGCTCCTGGGCGAATCCACGGGGACCCCAACCAACGGGCCCCTGCTGTCCCGGGGGCTGTGGCCTGGCTCACCTGGAAGAGGCCGCGTGGGTGCGGGGTGGGCTCATGAGCCCTGGCGTCCCAGGGGAGGGTAGCAGGGGGGGTGGGAGCGAGCTCTGGGGACACCCCGCATTCTCATTGTAACTCCGTCCCCATCACCCCCACTTCCAGGTAGCCAGAGAGAGGTCGTAGCAAGTCTCCAATGCCAGCCATGTTTGGGGCCACCCCCTGGTGGTCAGCGCATGTCATAGTGAGCAGTTGAAATCACGGTCGAGGGGACAATTTGCATATTCAGCTTTTATTATATAGGATATTTTAAATTTATTTCAGAGAGTAAAGGAGAGAGATAGAAACATCAATGATGAGAATCACTGATGATCCTGAAACCTGGGCATGTGCCCTTGACTGGAATTGAACCTGGGTGCTTCAGTCCACAGGCTGACACTCTATCCACTGAGCCAAACTAGCTAGGCAGCAATTACATTTTTTTTTTAAGAGGGATCTTTGTGTTTTGTTTTTTTAGAGCGTCGGCCTGCGGACTCAAGGGTCCCAGGTTCGATTCCGGTCAAGGGCATGTACCTTGGTTGCGGGCACATACCCAGTAGGGGGTGTGCAGGAGGCAGCTGATCGATGTTTCTCTCTCATCGATGTTTCTAACTCTTTATCCCTCTCTCTTCCTCTCTGTAAAAAATCAATAAAAAATATATTTTAAAAAATATCCCTAATCAAATATACCAATATTTCTGTGGCAAAAACTATGAAGTTACACCAAGTGAGTTGAATAAAGGCTGTTTATGGTCTCAGGTAAATTTTGAGCAGATTTTTCCAACCAAGGAATTTGCACTTAAATGGTGGAAAATCAAACCAACCTGATTTGTATAGCCTGTTGGGTTTTGGAATTGTGGAGAGCAGGCCATGAGCCTATAACCGTACTCACCTGCCTCCTAAGGTTGTGCTTGTGCAGATCAAATTATTAATATAAAGGAAGTGTTTAGAAGGTGCCCTATACTTAGTAAGTGCCAAGTCACTGTTATTAAGACTTCAGTGGGTCTGAAAGAGGGCCAGCCCTGTAGCAGCAGGGCCCAGCTGGAGGGGGTGAAGCAAGGGGAAGGGTGATCCCTGATCCTTTTTTTTTTTAAAAAAATGTATTTTTAAAATGTATTTCAGAGAGGAAGAGAGAGATACAAATATCAATGATGAGAGAATATCATTGATTGGTTGCCTCCTGCACACCCCCTACTGGGGATTGAGCCCACAACCCAGGCATGTGCCCTTGGCCGTAATCGAACCCAGGACCTTTTAGTCTCCATCCGACACTCTATCCACTGAGCCAAACCAGCTAGGGCAGCAATTACATTTTTAGGAAAAATTTCCATCAGCTCAATGACTGGGTCAAAGATTATCTCTATATATAAAAGGCTAATATGCTAAGTGTCCGACTGTTCGACCTGTCGCTATGACGTGCACTGACCACCAAGGGGCAGATACTCAACACAGGAGCTGCTGTTATGCGCACAGAGAAAGGGCACCTTGGAACTGGCACCCACAAAGCAACACTTGGCTTCCCCCAAGTGGGACAAAGGCCCCCCCAACCGCCCCGGAGCGACAGCCACCAAAATGCAGCCAACGCTGCCAAGACTCCATGGCACAAAATGCGACCCACAGCCCAGCCCAGCCCTGAAACAGTCACTGTGGGCGCCAGGTAATGACGTCACATAGCAACGCCAGGCTTTCTCTCCCTAGCCATGACTAGTCTTGTAGTTTCTTCAGCACAGGAACATGACTTGCTTCATAGCCAGGTGGAAACATTTCACACGTTAAACAAATGTCTGTGAAGTGTTTTCCCGCGCCTCATCTGTTGATGTTCTTTGTGAACGGTGACGCTGAGATGAGCTTGGCGTGCAGGATTAAGTTTAGAGAAGCAGAGGGCTACCGCTAGTCAGGCAAGTATCAAAGCCCCCAAAGCTCGCATGGCTTTTATTTGGGGAGTACAGCAAAGAACAATGGAGTACAGCAAGTAACAATGATTAACGGGCATGCTTATGAGATCATCAGAGCTAAGTTATACATTAAACTATTAATTTCCTATGTTATACAAAGACCCTTTCCACCTGCAGCAGTGCACCCTCCCTGGCTTTCCATGCCCTCATGGACTATTTATCACCTCAAGGAAAGTTCTGCCTCTGAACAGTAAGTCTTGCGTGCAAGACTTTGTTCTGACATGGCCCGCTTGCAGGCTCCCACCTTTTCTTGGCAGAATGTCCTCTTCTAGTTAACTTCATTCCACTTGACCAGCTACAATTTCCCCTTTTAGTTTTGCTGCAGGTTTGAATCATGACAGAGAAGATAGCAAAGCTGTTTCATTATAAGGTACAGGGGTGACACATAAACCAGTATGGTTCCAATCACACTTTTGTAATCACCTTTGCAGGCTAACATCATCTCATTTGATCCTCAGAGAAATCCTGGAGTAGCTAGATAGGACAGTGGTCGGCAAACTCATTAAGTCAACAGAGCCAAATATCAACAGTACAAAGATTGAAATTTCTTTTGAGAGCCAAATTTTTTAAACTTAAACTATATAGGTAAGTACATTGTTATAACTTAAGTAGGGTACTCCTAAGGCTTAGGAAGAGCCACACTCAAGGGGCCAAAGAACCGCATGTGGCTCGCGAGCCGAAGTTTGCCGACCACGGAGATAGGAGAATCAGTGGAATCCTATTTTCTTTTCATTAGCCAGAAAACGGAGATTTAGAAAGCTTAGAAACTTGACCCAACTGAAAAGAAGAAATGGTGGAACTTGAAAATGACTTCAGGTTTTCTCACTGCACAGAATATAGTCAAACACTGTTGCAGTTAAATATTTTACCCTTTGTTCTCCCTGTGTGATCTACAATAATAATCTGCTTCGTGTTGAAATTTACTGCTGTGTTGCTGACAATTACCTGAAAGAGAAGTTGGAGTGCTTCACTGGGCTGGAAAAAGTTTAGCTACATCAGAAAGCAGGTCTAATTAAGTTTATTCTATATATATAAAAGGCTAAGTTGATTCTTGCATGCATGATACATATAAAGCTCTTGCTGGCACCAATTGCACACGTGTTTCAATCTGTCATTGTCGATCGTGAATTTGGTTGACACTTCTATTATAGAGAAAGGACGAATAGCAATATTAAAATATTTCTTCTAATTCCCTTTCAATGTGCACGAATCCATGCACTGGGCCAATTGTAATGTTATAAAATCCCATCAAATGTCCTCTATCAGGTTCTGACATTTCACCTGCACCAGCTTGTAGTGGATGGACGTGCTTATTTCCCCACAGCCTCTCCAACACAATTTCAACTGCTTTCTTGACAGAACTGTGGTAACTCCATGTCATTTGTTGTTGTTGTCAATCCTCTCCTGAGGATATTTGTTCCATTGCTTTGCATAGAGTGGAAGGGAGGGATGGAGGGAGAAGGAAGAAGGAGAGAGAGCGAGAGACATTGACTGGTTGCCCCCGGCCCACACCACACAGGGGTGGCGAGCACACTACTACCCAGGTATGTGCCCTTGACCAGGAGTTGAACCTAAGACATTTTGGTCTGGGGTGGGTGCTCTAATCACTTAACAACACCAGCCATGGCTTCATGTAATTCTTTTTTAAAAAAATATATTTTATTGATTTTTTACAGAGAGGAAGGGAGAGGGATAGCGAGTTAGAAACATCGATGAGAGAGAAACATCGATTAGCTGCCTCCTGCACACCCCCTACCAGGGATGGAGCCTGAAACCCAGCATATACCCTGACCAGGAATCAAACTGGCAACCTTTTGTGCACGGGAAAAAGCTCAACCAACTGAGCCACACTGGCCAGGGCCACTCCTACCTTCTTGAAATCCTGTCTTCCTATAGCTTTTTTGGTCTCATTCTCCTAATTTTCAAGTTAGTTTTAGTTCATACAAATAATAATAATAATACGATGATGATTAACAGCCAACACTAATGGAGTAGGTGTTTGTGTGTGCCAGGTGTCTGCTACGCTCTACCCTGTCATTGCATCATTTGACCTTCTGAGTACAATGAGGTGGGTATTACTTTCATACCCATTTTATGAATGAAGAAAATGAGGCAGAGTCATTTACTGGCTTGCTCATGGTCACATGGCCAATAATTAAGGAACAGGAATTGAAATCGAGTCCTGTGTGAGCCCTGTGAAGTCAACCTCTTATACAACTTCTTTTTCTGTAGGAGAAGGCAGTATTAGGGATTGTAGGACAGAGAGGGTGGAAAGGATACAGCCAGGAAAACCTGAGAGGGAGGATTCAGGGTCTGACACTTAGAAGTCAGGGGACTTTAGTCTGGTGATTGCCATTCTCTGAGTTTGTTTCTTAATCTTTAAATGGGGACAGAGCCCTGGCCAGTTTTGCTCAGTAGATAGAGTGTTGCTTTGCAGATTGAAGGGTCTTGGTTTCGATTCCAGTCACGGTCCATGTACCTTGGTTGCAGGCTTGACCCTTAGCCCTGGTTGGGGAACGTGTGAGAGGTGACCAATTGATGTGTCTCTCTCATTGATGATTCTCTTTCTGTCTTTCCCCCTCCCTTCCACTCTCTCTAAAAATCAATGGGAAAATATCCTTGGATGAGGGTTAAGAAAGGAGGAGGGGCAGAGGGGTCATTATGAAGTAAGTAGGGCTTGGCACACAGTAAATGCCCAAATATATGCACGAATATATATGCAATAAATATTATGGAGCACCCACTCTGTGTCAGACACTGTTCTCACTGCTGGCAGCATAGCAGTGAACAAGCAGACAAAAATTCGTGCTCTGACCCAGCTGGTATTGCTCAATGGTTGAGCATCGACCTATGAACCAGGAAGTCATGGTTTGAAAATATGCTGCCACTGCTGGCAGCACAAGCCTCGGGCGGCCCTGGTTACCTGAGCCTCGGGCGGCCCTGGGTGGCTAAGGGCTGAGGGGACTGGGGGACTCCGGAGGCATGTGCGTGGCTGCCTGCTGCCTCGGCGGAGCTGAGGGGACTGGGCGCCGCCATCTTTGAGAACGTGGCAGTCAATTAGCATATTCCCTCCTTATTGGCTGTGGGTGCTGCCATCTTTGAGGGTGGGACAGTCAATTAGCATATTCCCTCCTTATTGGCTGCGGGC